AGGGAGAGCATACCTAACAGTGACTCTCAGGATCCCACCCAACGGGCCAATGCAGAGACAAGGAAATGTGTAAGGCTCGTGGGCCTCGCTTTCTGTTCTACGGTCTCCATCTACCTTTTTACTTTTCAGATATACTTGTTTTTTCCAACACTTAGGAGAGCACAGCAGCCGGGTGTGGTGGTGCACGCCAGTAATCCCAGCACTCGGGAGGCTGAGGCAGGAGGATCATCCAGAGTTTGAGACCAGCTTGAGCTACAAAGTGAGCTCAAGGCCAGCCTGAACCGCATAGCGAGACCCTGCCTCAGAAAGAAAGAAAAAAAGGGGAGCACATCATATTGTCTGGACGTACATGTTTTTCCTTTACCATTATGAAAACCCAGGGTTTTGCATCAAGCTACATCCCCAGCCCTTTTTATTTTGAGGCAGGGCCTCGAACTTTTGATCTTCTGTTTCAGCCTCCCGAATAGCTAGGATTACAGGCGTGCGCCACCACCTCCGGCAAGATGTACAGGACCCTTGATGGACAAATCCCAGATAGGATTTGAAAGAATCACTAGAGTACCAGCGCCGAACTGAGCAAACTTGCTGGTTGCCACTGTAGCAGAGCGGACTGGGGCCTTGCCCCGCCCCTTCCGCCTTACGTCTGACGTCACAGCGCGCGGGCTCGAAGGCTTTGATCCGCAGGGTTTAAATGCCTCTGGGTCCGTCCAGCCGTGTAAGTAAGCGCGGCGTTTGAAATGCAGCGAGACTTAGTGAGTTTCCCGCTGTCTCCAGCGGTGCGAGTGAAGCTGGTGTCAGCAGGTTTCCAGAGTGCTGAGGAGCTCCTGGAGGCGAAACCTTCCGAACTCAGCAAAGGTAACGACTCCCGACGGCAAGCTGAGGCGCGTTTTCCCGCCTTCCGGGCTTCAATCTCCAGCAGGCTTCCGCCGCGCGCTGCCGAGTTAACCGCGGGAAACGGGTTTTGATTCCACTTAAAAGTTGTCTGGTCGGGTGTACCTGTGCACGCTTCGCATCCCAGAGAATTAGGAAGCTGAAGCAGGACGATGGTGAGCTCTGGGAGAGAGCCAGTCTCCAGAAAAAAAGAGAGAAAAAAATTGTAAAACATCTATAAATTGCTTTCTCTGCCCCAGCGCCTGCTGCATGCTTTCCGGATTATCTAGTTTAAGCTCAAAAGATCCCTTTTCTTGGATTAATATGTCCAATATATAGGTGAGTTAATCGAGCTACTTGAAAGTGCTTAGGACCTAGTGGTGCTATAATTGGGAGGCAGATTGTGTATTTTTCGGTGTTCCAAGACCCAAGGGAGTTGGGATTAAATTCCACAAAGCAAGGATTTGTGTGGGGCTAGGGACACCAAAAAATGGAGATTACCTTACACCTGAAGAAAACAGTAGCAAGACCCTGCCCCCTGCAGAGGGTAACAGGGGTTGAAGCTAAGGGCCTTTCACCGCTAAGCACATACTCAGTCCCACTTTATTTATTTTGAGACAGGGTTTCAGTAAATCGTTCCGGCTGGCCTTGAACTTGGGATGCTTCTGCCTTAGCTTCCAGCGTAGTTGCGCTCCATTTTTCTTAGGTAATTCACTGAAAAACCTCAAACCTCATTTTCCAGACCACTGAAGATTATTTGTTGGTGGAACCATTACATCCTGAGGTACACAAAAAAGGCGCTAGCTGTGGTCACTGTCATAACACTGTGGTATGGCCAGGCCCGTGCCATTCACTAGAGAAGATAGAAAGGTATTTTAGGAAAAAAATTTTTTTTTCTTTTGTGGTGCTGGGGTGGAACCTAGGCCTCATACATGCTAGGTTAGGGCGCTACCACTAAGCTACATCTGTAGCATCACTCAGTTATCTAAAAATTAAAATTAAGACAAACCATTATTGTGCTAGACTTAAATCTAAAATCAATGTTGTTGTTATTTGTTATTTTACTTACAGAAGTTGGAATATCTAAAGAGGAAGCCTTAGAAACTCTGCAAATTGTAAGAAGAGAATGTCTCACAAATAAACCAAGAAATGATAGTACACCTGATACTTCATGCAAGAAGTATACAGCCCTGGACCTTCTTGAGCAAGAGCATACCCAAGGCTTCATAGTTACCTTCTGTTCAGCCCTAGATAATGTTCTTGGGGGTGGCATACCCTTAATGAAAACAACAGAAATTTGTGGTGTACCAGGCGTTGGAAAAACACAATTATGGTAAAATAAGATGTTCCTGTCTTGAGGGTGGGTTTAATAGCATTTTATGTAAGTAATATTGTGCTTTGGGTTTATAGTCTGAGCAAAAAAGGTTTAGTTGTATGTGTATGTTCATCTAACAAAAATCAGCTTCTTAACAAAAATGGTTTGTTTTCTTTTTTGCAGTGTTCTGCTGTGGTCGCTAGGGTAAACAGGCAGTCTTATGCTTTATTAATTCAAACACTTGAAAGATTTATGCGTGGTAAGAAAGGGTTCCATTTCCAAAAGCCTAAAAAAACAGAAAGTCCTTAATCTTAATTTCAGGATACATCATTTAATGCCAGCATCAGTTGGTTAGACATCTGGAGGCATGGAGAATCAACCATCTCTATTGCTTTGGCTAGCGTGTTTGCACTTATAAGCACTTTTAGAGGTGCCTCACTGGTCATTACCTGGAGTTTGAAAACCACTGCCTTAGGTGGCTGGGGATGTAGCTCAGTGGCAGAGTGCTTGCCTGACATGCACAAGGCCTGAGTTCAATTCCTGGTACCATAAAAGAAAAAGAAAAAAACACTGCCTTAAGTGATGGTGGTAATCATTTGGTCATTTGACTTATTTCTTGACAGTATGCAATTGGCAGTAGATGTGCAGATACCAGAATGTTTTGGAGGAGTGGCAGGTGAAGCCATTTTCATTGATACAGAGGGAAGTTTTATGGTTGACAGAGTGGTAGACCTTGCTACTGCCTGCATTCAGCACCTTCAGCTTATAGCAGGAACACACACGGACGAGGGTAAGTTAAGAAATTATCCTCCTTTTTCCCATATAACAAAGATAATTTGCTTTTGTGCCTATCTTATATCTCAGCAAGGGACTATTTGTGAAACTTACTGACTTAACAGTGCATTGGTGTTAAGTTATACTTCTGTTATAAAATGAGAAATGCCACATCCTGAACTAGGCTTTTTTTTTGGTCTTTTTGAGACAGAGTCTCACTATGCAGTTCAGGCATGCCTTGAGCTCACACTGTAGCCCAGGTTGGCCTCAAACTTGCAACAATCCTCCTGCTCAGCCTCCTGAGTGCTGAGATTACAGGCGTGTGTCACCACGGCCAGCCTTGGCTATTCTTTTATAGTCTTCATTTAAAATTTTTGACTGTATTTCAGTGTATGACTTCAAATCACCATATCCCTAGTTGCTACTGTGTACACTTAGTATAAGTCAACATTGATAAATGAATTCAGTGTATATTGATTTCCGCACTGTGTTTTCCAAAAAAGAAAGGTAACTTTCAAAACCACATTTAGAAGTGTTTAGAATTTTAAAATGATTGACTTTTTGAGGTTTTGAAATTGTGTGATTTACTTCATAGCTTCCTTGACTTGAGTTTGGAAAGTTTGTTTTTGGTGCTTGATAGGTAGAAATAAATTCATTGTAAACATTAAAAAGGTTTTTGTTCTTTATCCTAGGGATTGAGTTCTATCATTGAGCTATATCAGCCCTATTTTCATTTTTTAAATTTTGAGACCAGACCTTATGAAATTATTAAGGTGCTCAGCCTGTCTTGAACTTAGTGATCCTTTTACCTCAGCCTCTAAGAGTCCTTGCGTTAGAGGTGGCCTGGCTAAAACATTCCTTTAAAAAGAGAATTTATGTTCAAGTTCCTGTCCTTTCAATTATTTATCAAAGTTGGGCCTGGGATATAGCTCAGCGGTGCAGCACCTGCCTGGCAAGCACAAGGTCCTGAGTTTGATTGCTGGTACCAAAAAACCCCCAAAGTAAATGGCTTCTATTTTGAGTATCTGCTTTGTTATATTTTTATTTTTATTTTTTTGCTACTGGGAGCGAACCCAGGGTCTTTGTGCTGAGCTACATCCCTGACCCTACTTATTTATTTTAGGTCTTCCTGAGTTGCCTGGGCTAGGTTTAAATTCACTCAAATGATAAAGTGCTAGGATTACTGCTGTGCGCTACTGTACCTGACCCCTGTACATTTTAAATTACGGTAGTTAATTGGTTTCTCTCTGAAACGTGTACAAAACCAAATTTGTTATTTCTTGATCCAATCTAAGCATTTTATGTCATTGTTTCTACTTAAATACTGTATACCATTCAAGGGAAAAATGCTTCATTCAAATGTTTTTCCTTTTAACTCTTTATTTCTAGTCTCATGAAAACAATAAGAGAAACTTCTTTATGTTTTTCTGATCAACAGAAGCCTATAACTAGAGATATGAAAAGTCATTAAAGTACTAGTTAGGTCAGGCATGGTGGTACATGCCTGTAATCCAAGCTCTTTGGAACTGGACAATTTAACAAGACCCTCTCTGAAAACAAAAAAACAAAGCAGAGAAAACTCTGGTTTTGTATGTGAATTAACAACTTGTAGATAGCCTAGTATGTAAAGAAAAGGTAGAAACAGTGAAAAAAGAGATCAGTAATTATGAAATGATAGTTTATAGTAATCATGCTATAATTATACCATCTTTCAAATAAAGTTTGTTATATAAAATATAGCTTTTTGTTGTTAAAGAGTATTGTTTTTCTACTTGTCAGCCTATCCAAACAAATAAAACTAGGCTAGTGTAGTGGCACATGCGTATAATTCCAGCACTTGCCATGAGTTTGAGTCCAACCTGGGCTACATAGTGAGTTCAAGCCCAGCCTGAACCACATAGCGAGACCCTGTATTAAAAAACCAAGCCAAACCAAATAAAAAAATCAGTAAAACTTATTAAGATTGCTTTGGGTTACTTTCTTGTTTGTTTCAGAACACCAGAAAGCTTTGGAGGATTTTACTCTTGAAAATATTCTTTCCCATATTTATTATTTTCGTTGTCATGATTACACAGAACTACTGGCACAAGTTTATCTTCTTCCTGATTTCCTTTCAGATCATTCAAAGGTATGGGCCACACTACTGAAATAAAACTAACCAAGTATTTTTGGAAGTATTTGATAAGTATAAAAAGAAACTATATAGAATAAAATTAAAATCAAAACTAGTCTCCTTTGCTGCTCTGTAGTTTAGTTTGTACACGTTTGCACATTATTCAGACTTTAGTTTCAAAGGTATTTATGTATATATTATCCATGTATATATGTATATCTATAGGTGTGCAAAGTTTTGAAATTTAAATAATATACAGTAAAACCTTGGTTTGTGAG